TACATTAATAGGTTATTACAGGATATTGAGTAGAGTTCCTTTGCTATATACTAAATCCTTATTAGTTATCTATTTTATATACACAGTAGTGTGTATATGGGCTTCCCAGTACTAGTGGTAAAGAATCTGCCTGCCAATGCAGGAAATACAAGAGATGCAGGCTCAATCCCTGGATAAGGAAGATCTCCTGGAGGAAGGCATGGCAACCTACTCCAGTATTCTTGCCTGGGAAACCCCATGGACAGAGAAGCCCAGTGGGCTACAGACCACAGGGGTGCAAAGAGTCAGACATGACTGAGCACATGCACACATACACACAGTGTGTATACATTAATCCCAAACTCCTAATTTATCCCTTCCACCTCCCCTTTGGCCTTTCTTAACCATAAATTTGTTTTCTACATTTGTGGCACTATTTCTGTTTTGTAAATAAGTCTGTTTGTACTGTATTTTTAGATTCCAAATATAAGCAATATTATATGATGTTTGTCTTTGACTCACTTCACTTAGTATGATGATCTCTAGGCCCATTCATCTTGCTGCAAATGGTATATTTTGCTCTTTTATGGCTGAGTAGTATTCCATTGTACCATATCCTCTTTTTTTTTAACCACATCTTCCTTATCCATACATCTGTTGATGGACACTTAGATTGGTTCCATGTCTTAGTTATAGTAAATAGTACTGAAATGAACATTAGGGTATTTTTATGTTTTTCTCCAGATATGTGGCCAGCAGTGGGATTGATGGGTCATACTGTATGAACTTCTCACTTTCTATTTACATATATCCTCTGTGATCTCATCCTATCTCCTGGCTTTTCATTACCATTTATATGCGGTCAACTTCCTGTTTTATTGCCAGTCCAAACTTTTCCACTAAATTCTTATATACAACTTAATATCTGTACCTGGGTATCTAACAGTTATCTCAAGCTTCATTTTCAAAACTGATTTAGTTTCTTCTCACAAATTTGCTCCTTCCAGTCTTGCCCCATTCAGTCAACAGCAACTGCCCTTTCTCAGGTGAGGTCCAAAAGTTTAAGTCAGCACTGACTGTTCTCTCACTTTCCACATCCAATGTGTCAGCAAATCTCACTGGCTTTACTTTTACAAAAAAAAAAGCAGAAAGCAACTACTTCTTTCCCCTCACACTGTTACTCTGGTCCATGCCACAGTTAGCTCTTGCCTGAATTATTTCAAGAGCATCCTGTCTCTAAGGTTTGCTTATGTGCCGCCCCCCTCCCCTGCCAGTCTCTCTGCAATGCAGCAGCCACAGTGATCCTGCTAAATGTAACTCAGAGTATTGAGTACTCTTTTCAAACCTTCCACTGCCTTCCAACCTCAGAGTAAAAGCCAGAGTCCTTATAAAAGGACTGCAAGACTGGGCATCCTATTGCTTTTCTAACCTCACCTGCTACCAGCCACACTGGTTTCCACGCTGTTCCTTAAAAACCAGAGCATGCTCCTGCCTCAGGGCTTCAGCCCTGGTTCTCCAGGAATGCTCCTCTGCTACTTATCAGCATGACCAGCTTCTTCCTCTGCCTTTATTCAAAAGCCAAGTTCTCAACAAGGCCATTTTAAAACTACTTAAAACTGCAAAACCCTCCTCAACACTCCCTACTCCCTTTATCAGATTTATTTTCTGGGGCCAATAACATACCATGTAGTTATTTATCTAGTTTATTGTTTCCCACTCCAGAATGTAAACTTCATGAATTCAGAGATCTTCAATAGATGTTCAGTATATAAACAGATGAAAAGGTTGAACCGTTTAATACTATTGTGGCAGAAAATGCAGCTTGTGGGAACCTGTACTCTACTACTAATAATTAAACATAATATTCATTTGGACCTGAAAATACTTTAGATTCATTTGGGGTTGACATTATTTAAGTTTTTTCTCTTTCCTTTCCTGTAAACAGTGTTTTGTGTATATATTTATATTTTACTTTACCTTTTCACGGCATGGAGTTTTATTTAATTTTTTTATTGAAGGATAATTGCTTTACAGAATTTTGTTGTTTTCTGTCAAACCTCAACATGAAATCAGCCATAGGTATATATATATATATATCCCCTCGCTTTTGAACCTCCCATCTCCCTCCCCTCCCCATCCCACCCCTCTAGGTTGATACAGAGCCCCTGTTTGAGTTTCCTGAGCCATACAGCAAGTTCCCATTGGCTATGTATTTTACATGTGGTGATGTAAGTTTCCGTGTTACTCTTTCCATACATCTCACCCTCTCCTCCCCTCTCCCCATGTCCATAAATTTATTCTCTATGTCTGTTTCTCCACTGCTGCCCTGTAAATAAATTCTTCAGTAGCATTTTTCTAGATTCCATATATGTGCGTTAGAATACAATATTTCTCTTTCTCTTTCTGACTCACTTCACTCATGGAGTTCTTATTTTTTACATTTAATTGATATGTAACACTATAAAAATAATTTTTGTTTCAGCACTTAGATGATACATATATTTTAAGGGTATGAGCCACAGGACAGTTATGCTGAATTACTAGTTCAGGACAAGCCCATAAAAAGCATCAGAATTTCATTCTGACTTTCTGAAAGTCTCAAACACTCAAAAATGAGTCATTACCTATTTCTTTATTTCTATAAACATTTTAATTCTATATTATTATTGGAAAAAATGATAAAAATAGGTTCATTATAAGAAGGTGGGAGGCATCATCTGAGAATTTCAAATGTAGCTTATAACACCGGAATCTGTTAAAATAAGAAAGCTCAATTACTCCTAGAAGTTGCCAATTTATATTCTGTATTTCTTCAAAAAGTCTGCTTTTAAGTTCTTTTCTCATAGTTCTACTATTTCCATAGTTAATGAGGAAAAATAGAAAAGATATTCCCAGGGACATATTTACACTTACATGCTGACATAAAAATAACTCAATGACAATAGCTACCATGTGTAAGGTATTACACTAAACCCACTGGAAAACAGAGCTGACTGCTTACTGTGCCTAGCTGTATTACCCAGGCAATTTATCTAACATTTCTAGCACTTAGATTCTCTGTTAAATGGGTAAAATTGCCATGGCTACCTCATAGGATTATAGTGGTAAAGAACCTGCCTGCCAATGCAAGAAACACAGGAGACACAGGTTTGATCCCTGGGTCAGGAGGATCCCCTGGAGAAGGCAATGGCAACCCACTCCAGTATTCCTGCCTGGAGAATCCCATGGACACAGGAGCCTGGTGGGCTACGTACAGTCCATGGGGTCGCAGATAGTTGGACACAACTGAGCGAATGAGCATATATAGTGTGCTATATATATAATGATTTAAAGCAATGGCATAATATCAGGTATACAAGTAAACACTTGACAAATGTTAAGTGATATAAAAGATAGGCATGGGGCTTCCCAGGTGGCTCAGTGGTAAAGAATCTGCCTGCAATGCAGGAGACAAAGGAGTTGCAGGTTCGATCCCTGAGTGGGGAAGATCCCCTGGAGTAGGAAATGGCAACCCACTCCAGTATTCTTGCCTGGAAAATTCCATGGACAGAGGAGCCTGAAGGGCTGCAGTTTATGGGGTTGCAAAGAGTCAGACATGACTGAGCACAACTGGTATTTTAGTTAGGTTTTCTTTAGTTGCAAATAACAAGGAAGAGTTTTAAGTATTCAATATATACTTACTGAGCACTTAATATATGCCAAGCACTAGGTTAATAACTAATAAAGAAAAAGGGAAAATTTACAATACAGAACTCAAAGGCAAACTTGCAGCTGAACATCATTCAGAAAGAAATGGAACTGGGAACTGGAAAGTTGCTGGAAACCTAGGAAATATTCTGTCTTTCTACACACAGGGTTAGGAGCACTGACTTCCTTGCGGTTAAAAATCCACCTATTAAAAAAAAAAAATCCACCTATAACTTTGCAGTCAGATTTCCATATCTGCAGTTCTGCATCAGCGGAATAAACCAACCAATGATCACGTAATACCACAGCACAAACTTACTGAAAAAAATCTGTGTCTAAGTGGATCTATTTCAAACCTGTGTTGTTCAAGACAAACAAACAAAATCAAAAACAAAAACAAAACCTGTGTTGTTCAAGGATTAATTGTACTTCTCTTTGCAAACTGGTTTCTATTTTCTTCTTAGTAGATAAAGAGGTTTTTTTCTGTAACAAAGGTTAAGGGGTGGATTGAAGATAATCCCCCAAAGACTACCAAGTTCATAAGTTACTATTCCTAGTCATATGGAAACACTGCTATTATTTTGCTCTTTCTCTGATTTTTTACCTTAATTCCAAAGTACTGACAGGGAACAAGTGTCCATCCTTCTCTAAACACAGCGGCAGTTAATTGTTAAGTTTAACAAATATTCTAAATGGCATTTAAAACAAGTATTATCTACAATTTAGAAAAGAGGAAACTAAGTCTGAGAAGTATGAGTTACTTTCCCATGTTCATGTGGGTTGTTGTTTAGTCATTAAGTTGTACCTGACTCTGCGGGTCCATGGACTGTAGCCCACCCAGCTCCTCTGTCCATGGGATTTTCCAGGCAAGAATACTGGACTGGGTTGCCATTTCCTTCTCCAGGGTATCTTCCCAACCCAGGAATCAAACCTGTGTCTCCTGCTTGGCAGGTGGATTCTTTACCACTGAGCCACCTGGGAAGATATTCACGTGGATAGAGAATGAAACAGAAACAGAATTCAAATCATGAGGCTGGGCAAGTTTAGGACCAGCACACAAAAATGGTGCCTCTTTCAATTCTGCATATACGGAGCTTTGCTCCCCTCACCCTAGTCTGAGCTCTGCTAATGCTTCATAGTTCTCACTGTTCCCTTCCTGAAATGTGACACTGTCACAACTTTCAAAGAAATACAAAAGCTTAAAAAAAAGTTACATCAGTTCAGATTGTAAAAGTGTTTACAAAGAGAATAAACATTAAATTATGCATGTTCTTAATGATTTTATATATAAATAATTTGCTTTCCAGAAGTTACAACTAAAAGCAGAAACTTACCTTCCCATTCTGTTGGGATGTCCCCCACTTCATAGTCTATTTCTCTTTTATTTGCTGCTTCTACAATTCTTTTTTCTCGAATAGTTTGTCCTGTAAGACAAAAGTGAGTATTACATTTTTAAAAGAACCCATGGCACAGTCAGAACTTTCCTGGTAGCTCAGCTGGTAAAGAATCCATCTGCAACGCAGGAGACCCTGTTTTGATTCCTGGGTCAGGAAGATCTCCTGGCGAAGGGATAGGTTAACCATTTCAGTATTCCTGGGCTTCCCTGGTGGCTCAGATGGTAAAGAATCTGCTCGCAATGCGGGAGATCTGAGTTCAATCCCTGGGTTGGGAAGATCCCCTGGAGGAGGGCAAGGCAACCCACTCCAGTATTCTTGCCTGGAGAATCCTCATGGACAGAGGAGCCTGGAAGATTACATCCCAGGGATCGCAAAGATTTGAACACTACCGAGAAGCTAAGAGCATAGCACATGACACAGTTGCTACTAAAAGACGTATTTTCTCTTTAGATATTGCACACTTCCTCCTGCTACTGTTGCTGCTAAGTCACTTCAGTCGTGTCTGACTCTGTGTGACCCCATGGACCACAGCCTACCAGGCTCCTCCATCCATGGGATTTTCCAGGCAAAAGTACTTGAGTGGGGTGCCACTGCCTTCTCTGACACTTCCTCCAACAATAAGAGAATTGACAGGAAAAAGAAGAGATTTCATTTAGAATTAGGTATATTAGAAAAAGCAGTTTCTAAACTACTTCAGTTCAGTTCAGTCGCTCAGTCGTGTCCAACTCTTTGTGACCCCATTAACCGCAGCACGCCAGGTCTCCCTGTCCATCACCAACTCCTGGAGTTTACCCAAACTCATGTCCATTGAGTCAGTGATGCCATCCAACCATCTCATCCTCTATCATCCCCTTCTCCTCCTGCCCTCAATCTTTCCCAGCATCAGGGTTTTTTCCAATGAGTCAGCTCTTTGCATCAGGGGGCCAAAGTATTGGAGTTTCAGCTTCAGCATCAGTCCTTCCAATGAACACCCAGGACTGATCTCCTTAAGAATGGACTGGTTGGATCTCCCTGCAGTCCAAGGGACTCTCAAGACTCTTTTCCAACACCATAGTTCAAAAGCATCAATTCTTCTGTGCTCAGCTTTCTTTATGGTCCAACTCTCACATCCATACATGATGACTGGAAAAACCATAGCCTTGACTAGATGGACCTTTGTTGACAAAGTAATGTCTCTGCTTTTTAATATGCTGTCTAGGTGGGTCACAACTTTCCTTCAAAGGAGTAAGCATCTTTTATTATCATGGCTGCAATCACCATCTGCAGTGATTTTGGAGCCCAAAAAAATAGTCAGCCACTGTTTCCCCATCTATTTGCCATGAAGTGATGGGACCAGATGCCACAATCTTAGTTTTCTGAATGTTGAGCTTTAAGCCAACTTTTTCACTCTCCTCTTTCACTTTCATCAAGAAGCTCTTTAGTTCTTCACTTTCTGCCATAAGGGTGGTGTCATCTGCATATCTGAGGTTATTGATGTTTCTCCCAGCAATCTTGATTCCAGCCTGTGCTTGATCCAGCCCAGTGTTTCTCATGATGTACTCTGCATATAAGTTAAATAAGCAGGGTGACAACATACAGCCTTGACATACTCCTTTTCCTCTTTGGAACCAGTCTGCCATGTCCAGTTCTCACTGTTGCTTCCTGACCTGCATACAGGTTTCTCAAGAGGCAGGTCAGGTGGTCTGGTATTCCCATCTCTTTCAGAATTTTCCACAGTTTATTGTGATCCACACAAAGGTTTTGGCATAGTCAATAAAGAAGAAATAGATGTTTTTCTGGAACTCTCTTGCTTTTTCGATGATCCAGCGGATATAGGCAATTTGATCTCTGGTTCCTCTGCCTTTTCTAAAACCAACTTGAACATCTGGAAGTTCACGGTTCACGTATTGCTGAAGCCTGGCTTGGAGAATTTTGAGCATTACTTTATTAGCGTGTGAGATGAGTGCAATTGTGCGGTAGTTTCAGCATTCTTTGGCATTGCCTTTCTTTGGGACTGGAATGAAAGCTGACCTTTTCCAGTCCTGTGGCCACTGCTGAGTTTTCCAAATTTGCTGACATACTGATTGCAGCACTTTCACAACATCATGTTTCAGGATTTGAAATAGCTCAAGTGGAATTCCATCACCTCCACTAGCTTTGTTCGTAGTGATGCTTCCTAAGGCCCACTTGACTTCACATTCCAGGATGTCTGGCTCTAGGTGAGTGATCACACCACTGTGATTATCTGGGTCATGAAGATCTTTTCTGTACAGTTCTTCTGTGTATTCTTGACACCTCTTCTTAATATCCTCTGCTTCTGTTAGGTCCATACCATTTCTATCCTTTATTTAGCCCATCTTTGCATGATATGTTCCCTTGGTATCTCTAAGTTTCTTGAAGATCTCTTCAAATAGTCTTTCCTATTCTATTGTTTTCCTCTGTTTCTTTGCATTGATCCCTGAGGAAGGCTTTCATATCTCTCCTGGCTATTCTTTGGAACTCTGCATTCAAATGGGCGTATCTCTCCTTTTCTCCTTTCCTTTTTGCTTCTCTCCTTTTCACAGCTATTTATAAGGCCTCCTCAGTCAGCCATTTTGCTTTTTTGCATTTCTTTTTCTTGCGGATGGTCTTGATCCCTGTTTCCTGTGCAATGTCACTACTACTACTGTCACTAAAACTACTTCAGAAATTTTAAATTTCCTACCATAGTATGAAAAAGTAATTTTGGCAGAATAAGTCTAGGTTTTGTGTATAGAAAAAGAGAAACCAATTAATTTGTAGGCCAATTAAAAAACATTTTTATTAACAAAAAAGTGTTTAAGTCTTTCACACCCTGCAAGTATACATAGGAGAGATTTCAGAGACTTCTGCTACTGCCTAAGGTAATCAATATTTTAGCCCCACTATGGAAAATAATATGGGGGTTCCTTAAAAAACTAAAAACGGAGTTATCAAATTATCCAGCAATCCCACTCCTGGGCATATATCTGGAAAAGATGAAAACTCTAATTTGAAAAGATCAATGTACCCCATGTTCACAGCACACTATTTACAACAGCCAAGCTATGGAAGCAACATAGGTGTCTATCAGAAGATGAATGGATAAAGGAGATATAGTGTGAAATACACTACACTGTGGAATATTACTTGGTCGTAAAAAATATTGCCATTTGAAGCAATCTGGATGGACCTAAAGATTATCATACTAAATTAAGTCAGAGAAAGATAAATATTATATATTAGTTATATATGAAATCTAAAAAATAATACAAATGAACTTATTTTCAATACAGAAAGACTCACAGACATAGAAAATAAACTTATGGTGACCAAAGGGGAATGGGAGGAAAGTGAGGAATTAATTAGGAGTATGGGATTAATAGGAATAAACTACTATACATAAAACAGATAAGCAACAAGGACTTACTGTATAGCACAGGGAACAATATTCAATATCTTATGGTAACCTATAATGGAAAGCAATCTGAAAAGTATGTGTGTGTGTGTATATATATGTGTGTCTGTGTATTTATATATATGTGCATGTGTGTGTGTATATATGCATCTGAATCATTTTGCTATATACTTGAAACTAACACAATATTGTAAAACAACTATATGTCAATAAACAAAAACTCCTGATTATATCCTTTTGAAACAACTTTATCAAAATGATGGTCTCAAAACACATTTCTTTGTCATTGAAACTTTGATCCAAAAGAAACCAGGTAATTTTCTACGTCCCAACAATTAACAAGTGTTCCTGCCTATTTCAGGCAATGCAAGTTAAAAGAGAGAAGACACTGGTAGATAATGAGGGGAGGAGTATGGTATGGCTCAACCATGATCAAACCAGTCAGGGAGAGAAATCTGAGCCTTGCAAAATACTACTTTCTCTTCCCACTCCTAGGCCAACCTGACACTAATCCAAACAGACTAGGTGACATAATTCAAGGAATTGACTTTGTTCCCTGCAAATCTCTCTCCTATATGACATGAAATTCTACCAATTAAAAAATTCCTTCAAGACTTCCCCTGCTGGTCCAGTGGCTAAGACTCCACGCTCCCAAAGCAGGGGGCACATGTTCCATCCCTTATCCGGGAACTAAGATCCCACAATCCCACAAGGAGCAGCCCCCCCCGCCCCAACAAATTTTTTTTTTCAATTACAGACAAGGAAACTTCTAGGAGTGACTGTGCAGGAGATAGGGAACCACAAAAGGGAAGCCTAAGATTACTGAGCGGCTAGTTTTATTTAGTAATAGTAAGTGAAAGGTTAGGATTTCATAGAAAAGCCATTAATGACTAAAAACTCTGGGATGAGGTCAAGGAATCTCTGCATTTTATTACGGACTCATTTAATCAGGTTGATTTAATCCTGAGGTTCTCCAAGAGGAGTTACCTTTTGCTTATCTTATCTTACCTAATAAATACACAGTAGGACAAGGGATCAGTAGTAAAGCTCCCAGGCTATAGGGAGAAGAATTAGGGTAAAAGGAACCTATAACAATGACAGCTGCATTACTCTCATAGCAGAAGCTCAACATATATACATATATTTTTACTAAAATGCTACTTGTATCCACATATATAAACAAATCATAATAACAAGTTACCATAAATTTAGCATAGACTAAATTTACTGAAGTATGTTTACATGACAATTTTCAAAACGTTTGAGAGTCAAAGTACCTGTGCCTTCATATAGTCCCTAACTTAATACTAAGATGTAAGTATGTCTTTTTAGCAATAACAGCACAGAAAATTATCGTCTAAAATACAAAATGCTAACAGATGGGTTTCTGAAAGTACATATATGTTCTATAAGGTTTTAAGTGTCCATCAATAAAATTGAGCATACAAGGAGTGAATGGAGAGGTCTACCATTCACAGCAACACCACTAAATGCATATACATGTATATCTATACATTTCCTACCCTCGAGTTTATAAACCTCATTTAACCTATCTTAAGAATTTTAAAATCAAACGTCATATCTATTGGTGTGTATATGGAAAGACAAGAAGAGTAATTCATGAATTAGTCGC